CGGCCATGGAGAAAAAAAGAGTGAGTAAGAGGCGATGGAAAAAAAAAAGAAAAGGAAAGACTAAAAATTAGGGTTTTTGTTTGTTTTTATTTAATATAAAAAAATTTAAATTATTATTAATTTTTATTCAAAATTAAAACTAATCAATAAGTTAATGCTAAAATAGTCATTCTAAGTATTGTAAATGTTAATTACTTAATTATAATTTAGGGTATGTTATATGTTTAATTTTTGGTGTAAAGGATATTATATATGCCAATTACTCTTAAAGAAATAAACCAAATTTATATGGAAATTAATAAAATAGGCCAAATCTTTTAAAATTAAAAAGATAGTCCTATTAATGTGTGAATTTACAATTAAATCATTTTTAAGTTACGGACTGAAAATCAAGTATTTTAAAAAACAAATAGTCACACGTTTGATAGAAAAATGAGAACCACGCTTACGCAAGCGGCAAGACTAGCAAAAATATGCAAAAGTGTATTAAAAGACAATAACATTGCAATTATGATCAAAGTAAGAGTGTGTTGGGTGCTATAAGTAAATACCTTATTCTTTCTGATTTGGTATGGACATTGATTAAAATTCCAAGGTTCAACGTCTGGAGAAACATAACAAGTGGCATGAACAATAAGTCAATAACCGAAAAACAACCAAGTATTTGGTCCAGTCACAACACAATGCAAGGATAGAAATAGATACTTACCAAACTCCTCCTTAAGCCTTGCTTTGTGACACTCATCAAGATGATAACTCTCTGTTCAAGTAATGGATGACTCACCTGCAAAGAGGATAGCATAATAAACATGTGAACATCAACTATATGTCGTTCTCTTGTATAAGCATTTAAACAATCAACCCAATTTTTTTTTTTTTGCTGGATAAAGTTGAGATTAAAATGGAGGTGAGAGTGCATGACGAAAAGTTGCGAGCGAGGATTACAATTACGTTTTTTATAAAAATAATTATTTATCTATTATTATATACATGAAATAATCAAAATTTGCTATATTTAAAAGAGGGGATATATATGTCAACATTAGCCTATTTTTTTTTTAATTTTAAACATATAGCCTATTTTTTTAATTTTAGTTTTTTTGGTCTATTTTCATAATTTTCCCTTTATTTTAAAGCAATCATTTTCAAAATGGGAAAACAATTATTCTAATACTGAACTGTTCGTATGGTGCCAAAATATATACCAATTTTTTAATGAGTCGAATAATACACAAATGTGAGTTGACTGAACAAAATTAGATATGAAATTAGTCAATTTTAACACCTCTTTCAAAGATCTTAAACTCTACTTACGTTAAGGCTAAACGATATCGTTTTGAAAACAGGAAAAAAATATGAGAAAACAAAAAAACAAAGCTAAATCCCCAAATCCATTTCTAAATCTCTAATTTCATTTATCACTTTGTCTAAAAAATAAATCATCAACATAATATTCGTTTGTTGGTGATTCGAGAAAAGAGAGAAACAGAGGAGCAATCCCAATTGCTGACTGATGCATAAGAGGAAGAAGGGGTATCGATAGCGGAAGCGGAGAAGACGAGCTTGAAGAAGCTATTGGAGAGAGAGACAAAAGATCAAAGATGTGACAAAGTGAAACAGAGAGAGATAGGAAAATGAGCATCACTGCGTCGCTTGGTAGAGACCATGAGAAAGACGAAGATAGCGACGCTGCCGCCAAAGAAGATGATGGCCAAGTCGAAGGATGCGAAGAAGAAGAGAAAGGCGCCAGCGATGATATAGATTATCATTGCGGGAATGAGAAGATCGTTGAGGGAACTATCACGATTGTTGCCAATTGATAAGAATCTGACATCAATTATCGTGTTATTCTTCTTCTTCGAATTCAATTTCTTCACCGTGCTTACAATCGAAGTCGCGGTGTAACGCCCATGAACCAAAATTGTGATTTTGGGAAAGGGCGTCGATCGACACCAGTATTTTTGACTTAGGAAAAGTCACAATTTTGGTGTGTGAGTCGATCGACACCATGTGTGTAACGCCCCCGATCGTTTATAGACCGGGAACGCCACTGACAAACACTTAGATGTCCGATCAGAGGTTCCCGAAACAAATCTTAGTTCCTTAGACAAGACTTCTAGGCGTTCATCCCCTTCGAACGCGCCTCCAGACTTGCCAACCCGAGACACGACCGACGGTTAGTTCGTCCGGACCAGACGTAATATCGTTTGAAACCCGAGTTGCACCAAAAAATTAGTTTATATATATTTTTATTTAGGTTTTCAAACGGATTACAAAGATACATGGGAAAGAGTTTAACACTCAAATGTTCGTTTACATAATAAGTGTTAACAAATTTACAATAAGCAAGAAAATCTACCACTGATTTTCCCTAAGTTCCTTTGCATGCTCTCGAGTGATCTACTCGCTAAGGTTGTCTTCAAAACAAATTGAGTCGTAAGTATTAGTTACTCAATGAGTGTAGGGTTCCCTTAAGCATTCAATAATCATTCCCTACCAAACCCAAAATAACAATCACACTCAAGTTTGAATGAAAGTGTGATAAGTTATTATAATTTCTCCTTATGGCCTTCGGCCATGACTATTCCCTTCACGTGAAACCGGAGACATCCCTCAGACCAAAACCGCGAAGGCTAAGGCCTTAAAATCCTCACGTCCCGGTGACCAAATCTTTATGGGACCGTACGAAACCCTTGCATCGTCATGCAACACACGGACCTAGGCTTTAATCCTGTCTCTCCGTGTCTTCGTGACTCAACCAAAGTCTTTATTGATTAAGTCACAGTCTCAAGGGAATATCATGCTGTTCAATATAAGTTTTTTAGACTTAATTACGATATAAACTTATAATCCGTTCATGCTTTCATGCTTAAGTTATACTCAAGTAAGTGTTTATGCAATTCAAGTAATTCAGCAAGTATCTCAATCAACACGCAACGTGTGCTCTACTCAGCTAGCACAAAACTAGCATAACCAAAGACTCACCTCTTTCTTAGGGAGTGCCCGAGTTTTTGCCTTAGTCCGGCTGGAATCTAGGCCGGACAGAAAACTTTTCGCAAATTTTCTCTAGATCTTTCGGACTTAGTCGAAACTGATCCTACGGGTTTGTGATCAATCCAACCATCGGATCAAGAAACTTGTATTAGAATCAAGATCATAACGAGAACAAACTGGACAGAAGCGAACTTAAACTTAGAACGCTTACCCTAGGTTTTCACGTACTGGTTTACTATGGACTAGAATTCAGACTGATTGGACCACAGAGGGTCGATACGAACTGAACAGATCAGAACAGAATGATCACGGGACTGAGTTAAAGATACGGAAAAATTTTGCGGAAATATTTCTTTGCGATCAACATGTGACGTGCTTGGTGGGTCGGGTCGGCCTATTTATAGGCACCCCAAGCTAGTGAAGCAGCTGGACAGCTCACAATCACCTGCCCAATCTTCACTCGCGGGTAAAGTCCTGGGCGCGACACGTGGCGCTGGATATTTTCCCACATAAGACAAGGCAAAAACACGACAAGGACACGTCCTGCTTAGAAGTCTTCGGACAAGGGTAAGGTTTTCGAACAGAGGCTTGTCCTACTTGGACGTTCCTTCGGCCAAGGGTAAGAAGCAGGTGACTCGTTAACCAAACAGGCACCACTGCTTAGTCACCGAGGTACTAAGCACACAGCTTAGTCACTAAGGTGCTTAGGAAGGTTTTCGGCCAAACGGTCCGCATTTGGTCTGGTCTTTCCGCAGAGTTTTTGCCTTGACCGGTCCAAGCCAAGGTA